AGCGGGAAGGAGAAGAAGAAAGCGATCGTAAATCGGTTGGAACGAGTGGGATTCCATCGGTTTTCCTACGATCGGGGGGATCGAGCGTCCCTTAATTGTGACGGATTAGAAATTCAAATGACAGGCGTTGCGTGGGCGTAAAATCGGGCGTAAACGATCGAGGCCTGCGAAAAATGCGCGGGGACGGTTGTAACTCGGTGGTCGAAGCAGCTAGAAAACCGATATCCTTCGCGCGGTGGAATATAAGTCATGAATTAAAGATCAGCCGGAAAGGGATTCTAATTAGCCGGTACACGTGGAACCGGGATTCCCGGCCGCACCGTGAAAACGTATCGGTTTAATTGGAAAGAAGTTAAGCGTCTTTCAGTGGCGGTGATCCATCCAAGGCTCGAGCTATTTCGAGGTAACGATACACTCTCCAAGTCCAAGTAGAGGCAGAGCTCGTCTAATTACCAACTCGCTCGGCCTTTGTCGAGGAGGAAAGGAAAAGAGGGGAAAAAAATTTTTTTGAAAAATCTTCGAGATCGTACAATGTCGACCGATCGATCCTCATGAATTTCGATGGATATTATTCGATTTTAATTCTTCGACGAATCCGCGACTGCGATCACCGCGATTCCATCGATTCCTCGTATTATAAACAAGACAGGTATATATACATACATCTCGAGCGTTAAATAGAACTCGTCGTCCCTCCGCCTGAGTGTGGGATTCTGAAGAAAGATGACACGTTTTTACTCCCCGTGGGACCAATTACCGTTATTATCGGCGTGCAGGTTCTTTCTTACGCGAGACTGGCGTAAGGATAAAGGTTGGAGATGTTCGTTAACGATCCGAGATTCTCGATGCAAATGTTCTCGTCCCAGGGGGGAAGGCGGGCGCGAGGCGGACCGTTTATTACGCGAGCAAAGGTGACACCAGAATGGGCCACGGTGGACGCGACTTTTTGCCACATCGTCTCCGCGCGGTCTTCCTTTCCTTGAAAGGATCAGGGACGTGTCGACGTTTCTCGCTTTTTGCCGGCGACCTGGTCGCGGAGTGTGGAAATATCGCGCTCAAGGAGGAACCGTTTCGCGGTTACCGCGGCGACAGCTCAACCTCGACCTTTAACGTTCCCCTCGACGCGATAAAATTCATCAAAGCGGCCGAACCCGTTCTCTTAACGAACACGCGTGGACGAGGACACGTGGGGAACGTTTCGCACGTGTCGGGAATACGATTTTCTTTTCCGAGAGAAACCGAAAGATTCCATCCTCTTAATCTTCTCCATCCTCGCTCCCTGCCTCGTTACGTTCTTCCGCGTTACGGGGACAAATAGTGGTCTCGAGACCAAACGACAAAGCAACGGAGACGAAAGAAACGAAACCGTGAATCAGACGTTTATTAAGAGAAGGCGGGCAAATAAGAGAGATCCTCGTACGTGGAAGAAACGTATCCAACGTTTCATCGATTCCCGCGATAATTCTCTCCGCGATTAATCGTCAACTACATAAATATCGTTAAAACGCGGGTGAACTCGCGACCGAGAAACCCGAGAGAAAAACAGGGGTGGAGGGAAGGGTGGGTAGGAAACTCGCGTGGAACACGTAACGAAGAGGAAGAGTACGGTTGTTGCGCAAGTTTTTGCCCGCGCGCGGGTATCGGCCCGTTTTTGCGCCAATCGACGAATTACACGATTCTATTAAAGATAGTAGCAGTCACCGCTCCCTCGTCCTCCCCAAGTTGCATCGATTCGTTCCCCCTCGACAACGGAGGAGGAGGACGACGTGGACGACGTTTCGTAATCACGGTCACGAGGTCTTATCTTTTCTTAAACGCCTCCTTTCTCCTCCCGTAGAACGCCGCCGGGTATCTAGTTTCGTACTACTTGGAGACTACGTTTAGCGGTGCAACCGAGATGATACGCGGTGAAGATGGGTGGTAAATTGCGGACCAGCCGATTACGGCCCATGGACGTGGCTCGTTAATCAATAACACGATGTAATGGGACGGCGTGAACGAGATGAAAACGCGGAACTTTATTCGAACGCGTGTTAACGGGGAATTAATTTTCGCGTTATTCGATAAAATTTTTCAGTTTCAAATAGCGATAGTGAAATATCTTTGGAAATAATTGATCTTCCACTCGATATTATTAATATTTAAAACGAGATTGAGATTTTTAAAATTTCATTACACTCGTTCGATTATCTAATTAATTATCGATCGTGTTTTCTTTCTTCTTCTTCTTCCTCTTCTTCTTTTTCCTTTTTATCATACCATAAACTCTTTCTTCGGGACCGTCCCGATGAGGCTCGAGAACCCGATAAACGCCAGCACAGGTTTTTTTACGGGATGTTTCCTATCCTCGAATTAATCACAGACGGACGGGAAGATTTCTGATTAAACGCCTGCACAGCCTGAACCACTTAAGGAATCTCACGATACCGAAACCGTTCTTAGTAACCGTGGCGTTGAATTACCCGGGGATACGATTGTTACTCGGGAGAAGGCTCGTATCCCGCGAGTCCCCGTTGCCCTTTCATCAACTCGGAATAGGAAAATACATGGTGGAAACCCTTGTTGTTGTTGAGAAACGAAATACTAAAACGGCCGATGTTGTCATCGAAAGAGATAGTGATGGTAGTTCGAGACGAGTGGCCTCTTTCGACCCCTTTTTCGTTTCGTTTCTGATTAAAAGCCATTGTTCGATTCTAACCAAAGTGGATACCTCGAATCTGTCCGAGAATCTTGAGCATCTTTAGGGGGAAAGGCGATTATGAAACTCGAACACAATCGTCTGATATCGTAGGGTGGGAAGAAAGAAGAAGAAGAAAAAAGAGGGATTCTTCTTCTCAGCGAGAAATCCGCCGAGAAGTCACGGTGTCGAGGACAGCCAATATCCTCGACGGAACAAGAAACCATCACCCCCTTCGCGGGGTGGCTCGATTTCCACTTACATTTCTCGTAAACCAATAACGTCACGTTTCGACCTTATCCCTCCCCCCGATGCCCCTTAATTTCCTCCTACGCAGCGTCGTTACGCCGTCGATCGCGACGGAATTCGATCGAATAGAGGGGGAGGAAGGGAGGCGAAAGTAAGAAAGAATAAGGGAAGGGGGTTTGGGGATAGATATCGAGGATGGAAAAACGCAGCGACACGGAAGGGATTCAAATGAACTGGAAATCGAGAAGGCGCGGTGGTGGTCTCGAATATTTCTCTCGTTTCTCGAGAAACTGTCGATTTCCTCTGCCCATCCTTGTCTCTCTCTCTCTCTCTCTCTCTTCTTTTTCTAGTTCTTTACGAGTTGGAAAGAAGGAAAAATCCAGCGATAATTAATCGAGCCTTATTCCACGATACTCGAGGAGAGCCACGAAGCGAAGAAGCCTACTCGACGTCGGCTAATTGATCGCGATCCGTTGCTCTCTGATTGATCGCTTAATCGACCAAGGGAAAAAAGAAGGAGAGCCGAGGGTGGAGGAAAAAGTTGGAACACGTTAAGAGCTCGAAAGGTAAGTCCTCGAGGAACGGTCGAAGACCGGAGCGCGATTCCGTTTCGTCGTCGTTCCACGTCGATCGCCGATCTTTGTTTAGCAGTTCGACGAACGTGGAACGTTCCAGGAGGAGGAGAGGAAGGGTGGAGAGCGCGGCGGAGCAGAATAATTATTCGACGGCTTTTCGACGTCCCGCCTCGATTATTGACAAGCGTAATTTCCGTTATCGTTTCGTCTATTAATTAGACCGCGACTCGCGTCGATTTCCCCGTTTGTCGTTATTCCGCTCGGCAAATATACGGTGTTGAAGCGTGTCAACAAACGATAATAACGTTCCAGATTGTTTTACAAATTCGAAATTAACGTTAATTCCTCGAACGAGGGGAGGGTACACTGGGAATAATTCAATTTGCCGTAGTTAATAGAAATTTTCGAATGGGAGGGAGGAGCGATTCGAAAAGCGATTGGTAGAGACAGGAGAGGAGGGGTAATACGACACGATTGAAAATGCTAAACTTGTCGTGCCGGGAAGATTAATTCGTTTAGAAAGTCAGGTGAAGCTGAGGGGAGAAGAGAGAGAGAGTTTAGGGAGAAATTTCGATGCGGGTTCGATCGATGCGTTGTTGAACGCGAGAACAAGAAGCCACCGGCGGCATAGCAATGCGATTTCGAGTTTCGAGTTATTAGATTCGAGACGATCGTTTCTGCGTTGGCAAATTGTGCGTGAGCTAGAATCCAATTGGGCCGATCCATTTATTCGCTCGATTTAATCGAGTATAATTTCGAACGTTTCGGATGGAACAAGATCCTTAATTCTTGATCGATGCGCGACGAAGAGTATATCGGAAAATTAATAATGTCCGATTCAAAATCAAGCTCGTGTCTGGAAGATTCTTTTTTCTTTTTCTTTTCTTTTTCCTTTCAAAAAAAAAAATACTCGATCTTAAGACGCTTATATCTCGAGACGAGTTTGTGAGTGATTTAAAGGATCCAACTCCTACATACGGGCAGTTGGATCGAGGGGAGAGCAGGGGGGGAAGGACAGAACGGGATTCGCGCGGTAGACTGATCCTCGAAGCCGGAGCAGCCGGAGAGACTCAGTGTCAACAATGATATGACGTTGATTGTGATATGCAAATGGAAGATCGGTCGAAAGACGGCGATACGCGGCTACCTAATGAATATTTACTCGAGGCCCAAGACACCGTATGTAGTATGCCTATACGTCGAAACTATCTACGATTAAACGTATAATTCTCGAATTAAAGCACCGATCAAATCGTTAAACAGTTGTGTTCAATGCAAATCGAAGGAGCCGCGCCGAGTAATCCTCGCCTCCTCTTTCGAAAAGAGAACCATTTTTCTAACTTTTGCATCCTCCTCTCCTGTTAGAATTTCACGACAAAGGAGACACGTCGATTGTGGAAAATCATCGGAAAAATACAAAGTTATTAAACAGAGATAAATTTTCTCTAGTGATATATTGCTCGATCGATAAAAAAATTGTAACAAAATTTTAAACTCACCCTATTCGGAGTGCATCCGAGTCGACTTCCACGAGACACCACTCGGTCATCACCTCGCTTGCCGGCATCGAAATCACCTCGATACCGTCCCGAACATCCAATTCCCAATCTTCTTTCTCGTTACGAAAAAAAACAAACAAACTTTTCGAATCCCGAGCTATTCCAACGAACGTTTAAACCCGGTTCGATCGTTGTCCTCCATTGTTGCGCTAAAACAAAGCGTGAAAGATCGCGCGCGAGCCTCCTTTCCCGCAACACCTCCTTCCTCTTACCCTTTTTCGCCGGTTCCAGACCGTTAATCCATCACGGCGTCGGCGAGTGAGAAAAGCACCTGTGACAAATCGAAGATGGTCGCAGTCGCGAAAGAAATTGCATTAATTTAACACGTGTTCCGATCGCGCGTTGACAAACGCGGCACCTCGCCTTCAGAGAAAAAGAACCAGGAAGCGAACCTCCTACGACGCGACCACGTGCTACTCCTTTCCAACACCGGTATTTATTTCCAATTAATCCTTCGAAAAAAAATATCGATTCATAATCTCGGAACAAGCTTGTCTTCTCCTATAGTTTGATCAATTTTTGTTAAAGAGATCGCTGCCGAGATAAATGCGTTTCCTTGTGCGAGTGGATGATAGGCGCGTTGTAATGAATCGGGCCAGATCCACGTGTCTCCTCGAGTTCCTGCTTCCCTGACGTTCTCTGATCGGCGGTGTCAAGGTAACCACGTGCAAACGAAGGACCGCTGTCATCTCGAATCACTCCACTTCCCTGCCACCCGTCCCACCTGCACCAATTTCTCCATCTTTCGACTCGCTATCGCTAGCCACCTTTCGAACCTCGTAGACACGATCTTTCCAAACGCTAATCCGTTATCAACTTGGACGGAACACGAAAGAAAGACGAATGGGATCTTGGAATCATCCTCCAACAGAGGTAACACCTTCCGGTCGAGCAAGCACGATACACTTTTGTTTCAATTTAAATTTCACTTGTTCACAACGAATCACGAATCTTATCTGAACGGAGGAGGATCTGAGCGGAGGAGAACTCGATAAAGAGAAGAAGAATCCGCGAATCCGGCGTAAGTTCCGGAAGGGACACACTCGTGCGCGCAACCGCGTGCGCGTTCACTTGGAAAGATCGTTGAATTGGAAGAATAGGAAAGGAGGTGGACTCGGTGTTGACCGGCGGCGAGTGGTGGTGAAACGGCGATGATGCTGGGCCCCGGCGATGCCGCTGGGTGGTGATGGTTGTTGTTGTTGTTGGTGGTGGTGGATAAGAAGAAGAAGAAGAAGGAAACACGAGAGGAGGTGTGCTTGGCGCGATCTAGCCGAGAGTGGTACCAGCGGCCACTGAAGAAGAAGTGGCGTGTGCGGATCGCGCGGTCGAGCGAAGAGAAACGAAGACAGCGGCCTCGAAATGGTAAGGGACGGCGAGCAGAGCGGCCGAAAGAGAAGTAGACGGGAGTAGGAGGGAAGAGGAGGAAGAGGAAAGAGAGAGGGAGAGAAGAGGGAGGAAGGAGTAAGATCCTCGAGGAGAGCGTCCTTCTTCTGGGTGGAAAGGGAGGACGAGGTCCGTCAAACCGAGGCCCCGCGTATCCAAACCGTATTCTCCCTTCTTTATATCCTTCCTCTTGTTCTTCCTTTCTTTTTTCCTTTTCTTTTCTTTTTTTTTTCCCTCTCTCTCCTCCACGGCTCGTGTGTTCGCGACATCGGCGTTTATAACTGAGAAACGTGTTCCCTCGGCGTTGATATTAATATCGATAAGATTAAGTTTCGATTTCAAAGGAATGGAAGGGAAGAAGTTGGGAAAAAATTCCGCGGGGAAGGAAAAAAAAAATAGTCGGGCTCGTAAAGAACTCGCAAAACTTCGGGGCGAACCACGGAGTCGCATTCCCGTGTAATTGTTAAGCGCGAAAGCATCCGGGACATTCGCTGGACGAAAGACGAAGGGTAGAAGGTAGAGAAATCACGTGTAACGAACGAGATATTTCCAAGATTTCCTCGACTTTTCGACGCCTGGGAAGGAGCAGTTGGCAAGCGGCGTGCACTCGCTTAATTTGCAGATACGCTCGTCGACGACGACGACGACAACCACGACGACCTTGCTCCTCTCCCCTTGTTTTTCTCACTCTCACACCGCGTGGAATCGTTGCCTCGTTTATTCCTCCATGATCGTCTCGATCGAATTGATCATCAAATTAAAAAAGATTAAATTAATGAGCCGAGCAATTCGATACTTTCTCCACGATTAAATCCGTTAATTTAATCCAACTAAACGATTACGTACGCCTTCGATCAATGACGATACGCTTCTTCCCCTCGCCTCGCCAAATCCTCTATCATCCATCCTAGTCGCTGGTTCCTCCTACCTGTCCATCCTCCTCCCTGCATCGTATCCTTGCACTACATCCTCGGGGAGAGGGAGGGAGAGAGGGGCGGCGAGGCACAATTTCCAACAGATTCTCGCGATCGTTTCTTTCCACGTCGTGTAAAAGCAGAACAGGTAGGACTCGTAACGGAGGCCAGGACAGGATATCACGTGTGTTCGCAGCGCGTCCTTTGAGCGGACGGGATCCGTCCACAACGCGGTTTTCACGGTCCTCTGATACATTGCTACCGTTTCGAGGAGGAGGGTCCCTGCGCATCCTCTCCGCGTCCGCGCTGCCCCTCACCGAAGGCCTTGTATTATGGTAAACGAGACATCGGAGCCAGAGGCTGCCAGTCACCGCGTACACTCCTTCCACTTCCATTCCGATTCTCTCCTTTCCTCTTTTGTCTACCCACAGACACAGTCGTCCTCTTGTCTCTTCCTGCTCCTCGCTCTTCCATACCCTTTCTGTCCGCGATCCACCTTGCCTCCTACTCGAGTTCCAACGCCCAACGAGAGGACTTAATAATCTTAATGAATTCGAGAAATTCGTAGGAGGCTCGCGAGGTTCTCAAAGTTACGCTTCACGATCGGATCTTCACCGGATTCGCTGGCATTTTCCAAGAGAATGGCTGAGTCACGCAACTGGAACAGAGAAGCGCGTTAAATCTCGTTTTTTCTATCCCTTCACAGATTCGTTCGATTTTTCTTTATTCGTGAAAAATTATATACGAACGAAGGTGTTTGGAAAAGAGGACGTTTCTCGCGCGATAATGATATCAACGATAATGTTCCATTCCTGGAATTTTTGAATTATTTCATTCAATAACTTAAATCGTAAAAGAAACAAATTGTTTAAAGATCTATAACCTATAAGCGACTTCGTAACTAACTTGTCGACTCGATAATATTACGTTTTATATATAGTTGTATGAATAATCGTGCAAGAGGAGCTGTGCGATGAATGGTTTTACACCGATAAATTTTATGAAACACGTCCTTCTTTCAGACACCCATTCGTGTAAGTTGGAAAGGGACGTTCGAGCTCGGTGATTCTACATCCTCGGGACGAATCGAGTCCATCGCTACCGGGCAAGCCTTACGCCTCAATTTCCGTCTTTGTCCCACGTTTAATCTCGTCCCCTCGATCTTTCTCCTCCCTCTTGCACCATGCCTTCCATGTGCTCCCTGTCTCAGCTCCCCGTATTCTTCGACTTGGATGCCCATAGGCAACGCGTATCGCCTCGCTTCTGACGATGCATCACGACTCTCTCTAATGAAAGCCTTTTCTCCCATTGCCAATTAACTTCTCACGCGACACCAGTCAAAACGGAAGAAAATAGCCGACTGATCACGCCTATAATACATATATATATATATATATATATATATATCTCGCGTGCTATCGCGTTTAATCGTTGTTACATTGTTCCCTACTCACGTGTTTTCTCATCCCTTCGATCCATCATCTTCGAAATGTAGATATCCGAAATAGATGACAAAAGCTGCATTCATCATCGTGTTTTAAATTTGTTCACGCGCGTGCACGCGTTGTTCCGTGCAGAGAATCGGGACTTAACGATTACTCGTCATCCCTCTGATATCTGATAAAAAAAAAAAAAAAGAGGAAAAAAAGAGAAGAGAAACGAGAAGATCCGCGATCGTAAGCCTGCTTACCTGTAATACCTCTCGACGCGAGCGCGAAAATTACGCTAACACCGGTTAGAAGAAGGCAACGGTGAGCACGGTGCACGATTCATCGATGTACGTACGTCGTAACATTACCTCCATCAGATAAACGGAATTCTTCGTCGAGGGGAAAATAAAAAAAGGACAGAGAAGAGAGAGAGAGAGAGAGAGAGAGAGAGAGAAGGCATGGAAGAAGAGAACCTTAACGCGAATGGTAAAAATCAGAGAGCAGAAATTCATCTTTCTCGGGATGTCCAACACTGCGGACATTAATCCGACGATAAATACGCACGGTCACGGGTTAAGGGAAACGGGTACACACAGGATTGACAAGTTAAACGAGTTTCGCTCGATTCACCGGCCACGATCGATCATCGCGACTGATCTCTCGATCGTTCCAAGGGGAAAAATCCACGCGACGCTTTCTCTCCTACCCCCCCTGTCTGCTCGAGTGACCGCCTACCCCGCCCGTACAACGTTGCAACGCTGTAACAAATAGCGTTAACGATGCGAATCCCATAAGATCACACGCTGCCGCCGATTATTAATTGCCCTCATTCGTCAAATAGAACTTCGCGAACCGTGAACCATTACCTTGAGATTCGATAAATTCACGACCGATTACCCGATATATAATCGCACGGGTGAAAAGGGAAAGATTCGATGGTTCAAAATCGGGAAAATAAACCATCAGATCAGAGTATCTATCAGAGTATCAGATGCGTGTGAAAATATATATATATATATCGTGTGATCATGTATGAAATAGCGAAATACGGCAAAAAGCGTTAATTAAAGGAAAAAGGGGGAAAAAGTAATTGTCGCTTAGCAGATACATCTCTCCACTTGCTAAGAATAATTACGTTCGAAAAGAGACCGTGTGTCGCGTGTACGAATAAAAGTAGGCGACCAACAAGGTGTCGGGAGACCGTTTAACTTTGTGCTTCTGATCGCCTATTCGACGCCCTGCCTTAGGGGACACGATTGCGCCTCGCCACTTTCTAATTTAGCATCGAGTTTTGTCTGCTGACAACGAGCAATTTCTCCGTACAATCATCTCGAAACTTGACGATCCATCATGATAAATCTTAGTATCTTACAGTGATTAATTAAGTAACCGTTATCAATTCTTATTTTTCTTAAGATTCCTCCAGTTCCCTTTCCTCGATAATATTGCGAATGAAAGAATCTGATTTGAAGACATTGAAATTGCAAACTCGCTCAAACGATTATAAAAATAAAATTTCTTTTACTTTTTCTCTACATCGATGATCGAATTTTTTTTTACAGTCCCGTTTAAGGAACAATGTAACAAAGTTGAAGCATGAAAAATATGAAAAACGATGTTTAGCTATGTATTTGGCGAGCACCCGTTATATAAATCTGGTCGCTGAATCGACTTAAACGATCCTCGAAGCAAATTTTTACGAGACACGCATTCGTTATCCATTAGAGTAGGTGTAGCACGTGCGGTGGGTTTCTGGAGTCCGGTGTTACCAGAGCCGAGTATACGATATTCATTCTCTCGCGACCCATTCCGGGCGATGCGTGTAAATGGCGGGCATAATTGAATTATCATTGGAACCGCATGAAAGACAGCCCAAAGCCACCCCGGACCCAGTAATGAACGAAATCAGCGTTACGCCCCGACTCTGCAACGCGGTTTCAAAATAGCTACAGCTATATTTAGATAACAATGGACCTCGATAAAAGCAGCTACGATAATTTCCATTGGCCTCGTCCTCCCTATTTTCCTCCGAATTATTGGAATTCGACAATGAAATTAGTTTCAAATTAATTTTCATTATTAAAGGGAGCTCGATGAATGGGCACCTCCTTGCCATTTTTCCTATCGATATTGATTTAGATGTTTTTCAGGATCACACTCAAAGAAAAGGGAAGAATTCTATCGATTCGATATAAAAAAATATTCGAAATATCGTTGAGCTTCACGAAAAATTTAAAATTTTGTTTTGAGTGATCGTTTAGTAATCGTACGATTCCTAATTTTATGATTCCTAATTTTATGATCGTATTGATAAACGTTTAATATTCAGAGCAAATCCCTATGGCACCTTATTAATCAAAGTTTAATTGCACGTGCTGATGCTAATTAATAATCTCCTTCCCCTCCTCATTTCCCAATAAATCAAGTTAATTTTCAGTTTAATTAATTCTACCGGAGGCTCAGCAGTCATTGAAGTTAATTCTCTGAAAATAACAGACATAACATTTAAGTTTCGCTTACGAATATAGTTTAATTGTGATTTTCAATGCTCGTTCGGAATTATATGGAGTACTCACTTGTTTTTTTATTATAATAAAATATATACGAAATGTTGTTATCAGATGTTTAAATAAACAATTAAGTCTGTGAAAACTTACTTTCTCTCAATGTTGAAAAAATTCCTAAACCCCTTCTTGTGGTCTCTCTTCTCACAGATGTTTGAATCAAGATTACGACATTCTTGCTTTTTCTCGTTCCCCAGGTGAAGATTAAAATCTGGACTGGCGAGAGCAGTTGGACCATCGCCATTTTCTTTTTTCTTTTTTTTTTTTCTTTTTTTTACCCTGTAACTTTACACCACGGGTCATTTCCATTCGACGAACACGTGGCACATAAAACTCGCGAAATAAACATTTACACATAAAAAGAATTTGTCGAGTGAAATCGCTATCGAACAATCGTGAATATTTTGAAAATTTTGAATACCTTATAACGACATATGGCAATCTCCTATTTTTCTTTTCTTTTCAAAAATAAATCAAGACTATTATTTTATATTCCTTTAATGAACTATTATTATCCGTCACGTGATTTCAACGTGATTTCAATGTTAAAGATCGTTGCTGATATGAAATGATTATTCTCGCTGAAAAAATTAATAAAAAATATTTTTATTTGACTTAGCGAGTTATCATATTTCTACGTAAATTTCAATTCGTGAATATTATCAAAATCAAAATAATATGAAATAACTACGATATAATAAAAATTCTATACTCACTTCTGTATCTGTGAATTAACGATGGAATTATCTACAAATTGTCTCAACGCTTCGTATATTTCATCCGACTACGGCAATCAAGAGAACGTTTAACCATTCGTTAAAGCGATGCACGTAACCTGCTCGAGCATTTAAATGAAAATGCTATAGACGTTGATTCCGGATAACATAGGCAGTAGTAATCTTTAATAAAACAAATTACATTGAATAAGTAAATTTGATATTAAATGATGATTATAAAATTAAATATAGATACTTACTCGATTTTGATGTACATATAATAAAATTTTAACTTTTGTCCAATCCAATACGTACACGAATGGATATGCACCAATATTAACTAAATAAGAACATATTAAATAAGAAACTAAATTCGTTTAATAGTATAATATAATTATATTTATGCGGTTCGTTATTAAAAATAAAATTGCAATGATTGAAATTAAAACTGAATTTCAATATAAAATTATATATAATTATTTGTTTAATGTCTCTATGACTGAAGAATATCAATTTGCAAAAAAACTCGTATATATATATAATGTTTTGTCATTTTGAATGACAAATGAAATCGTCGTTTTTAGAAATATATTAATATTAATATTAATATTAATATTAATATTTATATTAATATCGAAAATACAATATCTATATTTTTTACATTAAAAATTAAGATACATTGTAATTTTGAAAAATGATTTGAAAGATAATTTTGAAATGATGAAAGTGTATACAATTGACATCTCGTATTTTGTGATCACGCGCCATAATCACGACAAAGAGACCAAATAGGAGAAAGACAGAAATAGGATAAAAATTAGGAAATCAACGCCATCTCTAGAGCACTGTAGATAAACTAACATAAACAAGGAGAAATAGTAGAAAAAGGATAAAGATAGAATAAGAATTAACTGTTAGCACCATCTCTGCAAAACTATTCAAAGCATGACGTTGATCTTCAATTTTTACTCTACCTTATCTTATAATATAAAATTGCAAAAATATAAATTGCAAATTGCAAATATATCACAGACGAAAAATAAAATAGATGTGACATCCTATAAAATTTTGTGATATATGTTTTAAAATATCAATCTTAAAAAAGTTCAAAAAAGGTTTTTACATTTATCATCTTATCATGTCTAACATAAAGTTAAATTATTTAAAAAATATAAAGTAAACAACACTTATATATTTAATAATTTTAAGAATTAAAACGAGAATATTAAAATTTCTAAATGAAAAATATAATCGCGGTTAATTCATATTATTTCTTTAAAAAAAATAATATAAATAATAAATTAATTCATAATCAAAATAGTTAAAAACAATCAGAATATTTTTCATATTTCAATATAATACTGTAACATTATAATTTTATGCAATATTAATTCAAATTAAATTACTAATTTATTGTCACAATATTAATTCAAAAGTGCAATTTACTCATGAAGCTTCTGAATGATAGCCAATATGCAAATCAATCAAACAATACAATCACAATTATTACATATTATTAAAACAAGCAAGTAGTAACAATAACTTCTTTCAACCAAATCTCCAAACAAGATTCAAGAGATAAAAAGCCATTTGTTATAGTCCTTTTCAGTTTACCAAATCTTTTTAGCTTTTCTTTTTTCGAACGCTGCTGAAAATTAAATTTAATCTTCACTAATTACAAATAAAAAAATGATTGCGAAATTAAAAAAATGATAATGAATAATCATCGAAAATGACCAATTTGACTCAGCTTCACTTTCGATTTTTCAGATTATTTTATCTTTTCTCTATAAAACATAAATTATAATCATAGCATCTATATGATCATTGAAAATCCTTTTTTTTTAAATAATTTCATAAAATCAACCATTTATTTACATTAAATAAAAAATTAAATCTTCAAGATAAATATATAAATATATATGAAATTAAAATAAAACAATAATTATCTCAAATTCTATTTTTAAAGCTCATAATGTAAATTAATGATAACTCTAATAGTCAAATATGAATAAAAAAAATAAATTATTATTTAAAGAATTATCAACTAAAATAATGTTCAATATATAATCGAATAAAAGTATATTAATAAAATAATAATATAAAAAATAAAAAATAAATATTACACAATAAAGCCTAGTCTGAAGCAAAATAAGATATCATGATTTTCCATAATCGAATGTTATCTTGCATAACGATTTCGATATATCGAATTACAAAATGGAAAGAAGAATATGTTCAACTTATTTATTCGTTTGAATATGACAAGTCACAACATGTGAAATATAACACGAATATAAATCATTAATTTGAAAAAATATTGAATTAATATTGAATAAGAAATATTTTCAGCTGAAATCCTATAAAATAAAATAAAAATATAAAAATAATATATGAATTAAACTTATGGATAGATATATTTAGGAAATATATATATATATATATGAAAATATATATGTGTGAATTGATTATAATGATTTAACTTCTATTTCTTTATAAATAAAAAATATAGTAATCATGTTTCCTATTAAAATAATAAAATCTTATTACATTTGAATAAAAATTATCGGATTATTTTTTAATTATTATAATGTGTACAAAAACTATTAAAACTCGAATATTGCTTTTGAAGTTCCAATCAAACAATAATATGTTACAAAGATATTTAATAATTTCGATAATGATTAAACAAATACATATTATTAGAACAAATTAAATTTATTAATATATAATTAAGCTTAATAATCGTAATACGATATTCTATCAAAAAAAATTTTACATAATTATAATAATTATAATAATTATAATAAAAATTTTACATAATTACCAATAAAATGCTACCTGTCACTACAATTTTCAACTGAAGACTGATGACGTAAGTAATATGATGCGCATTGATTCGTCTCACTATTAGATCTTAACAATTTTCTGATTGGATAGAACGATGCAGTTTTCTATTCACTTCAACCGCGCGAAAATTGAAATATTATATATTATATACTTTAATTGTAAATTTCTATATATTACAATATACAAAAAGTTTGTCTTGATCTATTTCTCATATATTGAAATGTATTTTATAAAGATATTCCAATTAAAATATAATAAGAATAGATTATTATAATTAATTTAATATAAAAATAATTCAAATTAAAAAAACTGAAACATAAAATTAAATTTAAAATTTAAAATAAAAATTGATTAAATCAGAAAAGAATATAATATAAAACAAAAGAAATCAAGGTAGATATATAAAATATATGAAAAAATAAATAAAATAAATTGACGAATAGTAAGATATGAAATGAAAGAATTTAAAACAAAAAACTACTAAGAAAATAAAAAATTAAAATAAAAAATTAAAAATAAATAAAAAAATTTGTATCTATTGTCTAATTGTTATCTAACAATAAGATTTTAAAATATTTTACTCTTCTTAATACTAAAATTAAAATAAATCATATCTTGAAAATCAATATAGTCTAATGACAATATCTTTATCAAAAATAATTTTATCTTATTATTATCTTATTTAAAACGAAAAAATATAAAATTAAAAACTTTTATTATTCATTTCAATAATTAAATTAATAATTTCATTACTAATATTTCAAAATTAATATTTCCAAAAATTGCAAAAAATAAAAATTAAAAAATAAACAAGAAAAAAATAAATGAAAGTTAAATAAAAAAAAAAAGACATAAGAAAGAAAAAATGAATATATCAAGAAAATTATATATTGATTTAAATCATTTACCAATTATTATATAAGGATTTTGATCAATTGATTTACATATATTTGAACATCAAATCATTAAATTTTTAAAAAATCATATAATAATAAATATATAAATCATATAATAATAATAAATTTTGATTCTTTAGAAAAAATTTAATTTCATCTGTAACATTTTACAAATGACACTTTAATAATATTCTAATTTTTATTCTATACCTATTACATTTCGCCTTTTTTGTTGTAATATTCTGAATTCATTATACATTCAAATTTTCTATTAACAAATTGAAGTTTTAGAGTCCATCTACAAGATTACACCATTATAATACGTTTTTTATTAATACTATTTAATGTTATTAATGTATTCCATTAATAACAAGAAAAACAAAAAACCTAGCGGCAATTTTATAATAATTAAAAATATTTGTTTGAGAAATATCATAAATGAATTTGTATAATATGTAAATCTATATATAAATATTTCAAAAAAAACTTATAAAAGTATTAAATTAGAAAAAAAGAATTTCTTAAAAGAAAAAGAAAATAAAAATATGTAATATATAAAATTACAAAATATTATAATATTTTATATATAAAAATATATTATAATATGTATAAAATTAATATACATATATATATATATATATATATGTAATATGTTTATATAGTTTATATATAAATATTCAGATGCTAAAAATTATATCGATTGTTATATCGAAGTTTGGTTTCATTTATATGTAAAATTTTATACATGTAATGTAAAGACGAGTAAAAATTATAAATGACTCTTTAATTTCTGTGATAAGAAAAAACATTACATAAGAAATCTATTTTACATTTCGTCTGTGGTATTAATTTAAAGTGAACTGTTTACATTGCGAAAAAAATTATCCTCGGATTAATTTAAATTGTAAATGTATTTTTATGAATTTACAAAAATATATATTTTAAGAACAATTAAGAACAATTTCATAAAGTGCATATAATGATAAATTAAATTAATATTTTTTTTATTTAAAACGATATTTAAATATCAACAAAGCAGACATGAAAGAAGGACACAACGTGTCCAATATAAACGATGATTATATTCATGAAAATGGAGAGGTAATTTTATAACACTATATATTTTATATAATGGTTTATAGTATTATTATTATTGAAAATATTTTTATAATATTATTTATAATAATATACACTTTATGTAAGAGGTTAAGTACGTGTTCAATAAAAAAATATTTAACCTTTTAACTATGTTTAAAATTTTGTTTCAATAGTGTGATTTTACACTTTTATAATTTATAATTTCATTATATTTTTTAATTCAAGAAATTGTATTATAACTTATGTATGTCGTACATTATATATTTTATATACAATATTGTTTGATATAAATAAAAAATAAATCATAATATAATGAAAATATAGTTAAGAGGTCAATATTTGTGAAATATTTATATAAAAATATATTTATACAAATATATAATTTGAATTAATAATTATTAATAACAGAGCATTTTAAATTAGCGTAAGTTTACTTATGTAATTGTAATAGGCTGTAAATACGGTTAATACAGAGGAATCTCCAGCAAAGCAGAAATTGCGTGGATGGCTAAATCGAAATTTAAGAATAAAAATGACAGATGGCCGTGTTTTAATAGGTGCATTCTTATGTACTGATCGTGATGCCAATGTGATTTTAGGATCATGTTCAGAATTTCTATCAGAGGACCATACAGAAGCAAGAACTCTTGGTTTAGTAATGATACCTGGTAGACATATTGTAACAATACACCTTGATGCTTGAGCAACTGTGTTTGTTTGAAATTGAACTATATAGAAGTTATTATCTTTCATTTTCTTGAATTATAATATTATAATTTTATTTCTGTATTTTTTAAAATTTATATACATAATAATATGAACTAGATTTCAAAAAAATGAAATATATGAGTAATTTATTTTTAACATGTTATTTTTGTTTATTGTATAAAATCTTAAACATAAATTTTAAATCATAAACAAAAAATATTTTACTATATTAAGTTAATTCATTAATTTTTACTTTATCTGCAGACTTGGTATCTGTTTTATTAGCTATAAAAAGAATAAAATTAAATTAAAAAGAATTATATCTATTACTATTAATTCCATTATACTTACAATTTTTAATGCATTCTTTTTGCACATTACAATATTCTTGTTCAAGTACCATAATATGATTAATTTCTTTCTTTATGTTTCTTAGTGCATCATCTATTCTTTGAGTAAGAGTGAAAGATAAATTATCCATTCCAGACAAATAACTTATTTCTGAAACAGCTACTGCCATTTTATGCACATATTCAATATATCCTGTCAACTTCTACAAAAATATATTAAATATATTTTTTAATAGATCTAATAAAACTAATATAAATTTATTTTATTTCTTCTTACAGTTAAGATTTCTTTTTTACTTTGTACTTTTGATCTAAGTTCAACTATCATATCCCAATGTGTATCATTAACATTTAATTCTAAAGTTTCTCTTGAAAGAGAAATTAATTCGTTTAATAATGCCCTAAAAAATATTTTTGTATAATTTTGATGATATGATAAATTTATTATCATATTATATCTATTAAATAATTCTTCAATTTTTATGAGACATACTTATATTCATTACTTGCTTTCATTATTGCTGTATATGCAACAGTTAGCGATTGCGTTGCACTATTAACAGCATCTATAGTTGATTGTTGAATCATATATTCAGGAGTTAATTTTTTTATATCAATTGGTTCAAATTGTAATTTATCATCTGCTGTTGGTTTGTTAGTTTCTGGTTGATTTATATATGTAGAACTTGTAGCATACTAAACAATAGAAAAAAGTATTAAAAAAGATAAAATATAAAAAAATTTCCAAAATTATTATTAAATAACATTCAGAATGTTACCAGAATAGGTCCAACTCTTTTCAATAATAATTGAAAAAATTGACGTAACGACATGATTTTTAATAAATAAACGTCCCTAGAAAAAATTAATTCTGGAAGCTAAAAATCGAAATTATTCATTTTTTTAAATAAAATCATTAAAAACGGGGTTAAGTTGCATGTTTCATAATTATTCTGAATAACACAAGTCAAAGAGCGATTAATAAATCACAGAAAATTAATTTTTGATTTACATATTCAATATTGTAAGATATTTTATTTTTATATATCAAAATACATCAAGAAATGAAGAAGTTAATATACCAAAACAACTTGTATTTACTCGTGAACTTTTTTGTAATATTTTCTCGCGACTGTGGAACGATCTAGCGACACAATGCGAAATCAAATGTAGCTTTTAAACTATAATATGATCCTTTTAGATATTAGTATTTTTCTATAATCACATCTAAAAATTAATAATAAATTTTTCTTTTTTCGAAATATATTAGTAATAATAATATTGAATAAAATATTTCAGAATTTTTTATTTTAATTGTCATAAATAATGTAAAGTTTATTACATTTATATAATATAATGTTTAATCTTAAATTTCACAAAATTTAAAATATCGAAATTTTTTAATGTATTAAGGAATAAAAATAAATCATATATCAATAATAATTATTTTCAAATTATATAAAAATAAATAAATAATTATAAATTATTTTATTTGACATTGCATATAATTGCAGGAAGACTTTGCATATCTGTATTTTCTTACAATTATCAAATTTAATATAAAATGTGCTAATAAAATAATATTAATTTTTTTTGTTTGTTCATTGATATCCTACATTGTTTTATTCGCTAAAATAATAATTTATGTAAATTAGATTCATTTGCATTTAATTTAGAGAAATTTTTAAGAGAAAAAATTATTTTGCATATAAAATGCATTTTTTTTAAACAAATAACATTATAATATGGATTCACCTCACTTAATATAATTCATGACATCAAATTACATGTATTTGATTATATAATTAAATATTTAATTATAAAAAATTATATTATAAATGCAGTGAGGCATGTGCATGTATCATATATGTATAAGATGCTATAAAGTTAGGCGTTTCATGGCTAGGATTAATTAATGAGGAATGTAAAAAATAGTGACTGTGAAACATTAAATATTTTTAGAAAAATTGTTCCATATGTATGTAAGTGTAATTATAATGCTTGATGTAAATATAGAAAATCAGTTTTAAGTTATAGCATAGAGCATATCTAAGAATAAAATATGAAAAGTATCACAATTAAACATTATATTCATAGTAGATAAATCCGACCAAATAATATTATATATATATATAATTTGTTAAATAATGACTTCATTCTGATAATTTATTCATTTAATAAAAGTATTTAATAATAATTGTTTAAAACTATTATTGTTCAAATTTACTACTTGGCACTTAAAAAATGATTTTTTTTATATAATGGTCGGTTTTTTTNTTTTTTTTTTTTTGTTATGCAAAACGTCACGAAATAATACTCTTATTTTTTTGTATGAAAAATGAATTAAATATTTCTTATTAATTTTATACAAATATATAAAAATTGAATAAAATAACATAATATTCAGATTTGCAAAATAATTCATCCAGCCAAAATGACACAATTTTTTAAATTTCATTTAGATTTCTAAATGCATTCATAAATCTGTCCTATAACATAACAAATTCTTTAACTATTATATAAATAACCGAGATACTACTCAATAATAAAAATCACACACTTTTAGATAAATCTTTTTTTAAAGTTCTTGATGTATTTCTTCTTGAGTACTTTTATGAACAATCTTAGGTTCATTATTTTTTGATGAGTCCATTGATTCCGTTGATTTTTCTGAATCTAATGATTTTTCATTTTGTACTTCTGCACTTTTAGGATTTTCATTTTGAAGGTTTTCCGTCTCAGATTCAGGCTTAGAATCTGATTCTGGCTCTTCCTTTGAATTTGTTGTAGTTTCATTTATATTCTCTGTATGATTTGTAGTAGATTCTTGTTTTGGTCTCCATATTTTTGCTTTATTAATAAGATAATTCACTTCCCTATCAAGTAATGCCATTTTATTTACAATATCACGAACTTTATATTTCACAGGTTCATATAAAGCTGTCTCAGTAAAAGATTTAACAATTGTATCATAGTATTCCTATAAAAATAATTATAACAATATTTTTTATAAATATTTTATTATTAATAATAAATAATATAATAAAATAATTTACCTGGGTTTCATTAATTACTTTTTCTAATGTTTCTATTTCAATTTGAGTAAAAATTTCGCTAGATAAACTTAAATTACGCATATTATTTAAAAACGTTGTGCTTGCATTTAACATAGATGTCATGCCTTTTAATGCTTCTGGGCGCTCTCTGTGTTCATAAACACGTTCATACACATCATTAGTAAGTTTCTGAAGATATGATAATTTTTCTTCATATATTTCAGCAGTTACACTGAATCCATCTTCATATAGCCATTCAGAAATTTCAGAACATGCTTTTAAAATGCTTTCTGCTTCTTGAGATGTAGCAACAACAGCATATTCTTCGGATTCTAATTTTTGTTGAGCATCAATTATAAATGTTTCTAAATTATTCAAAGCTGTTTCACGTTTTGTTTTTTCGAAATCATATACATCCAAACGATGCAATCTAAAATGATTATGACAAGGTTTAAATTAATAGTTAATAAAAAATATGTAAAACATATTCTACATAAAGTTATCATGCAATTATTCATATTCACTTTGCTAGAGATTCAACAAGTTTATCTCCAGAAAGAATTTGTGATCCTAATTTGATTTCATCAGCTTTAATAGGTTCTTTAATTGTTACAATTGTAGCCTTTTTTTCTTTTTCTTTTTCTATTTTTTCAGTTTTATTTACTATTTTATTATCCTCTGTAATCATACTATCATTTTTCTTTTTCATTTTATCTTCTGTCTCCTTTTGTAATTCAGAATATTCAGATTCTTCGTGAACTGGTTTTATATCTTCTTTTAATGGTTCTTCTGATTTTCCTTCTTTGTCTTCTAATCCTACATTTTTTAAATATATTTATCTTAATATTTCATTTATATTTTTAAAGAAATTAATAAAATAAAATTATATAAAATATAATTATACTTGTTTTGCGTAATTTTGTAAAAAAAAATTATAGCTGACAATTTAAATTTATTTTTAAAATATATTTTATGTTTCTTTGTGTCATCTAAAATATTTTACAAATGCTTGCAAAAAATGGTTGTATATTTAAAAAAAATTATTCTAATGATTCATTTTTTCAACTAAAGTGCTGAATTGTTGAATTCTTACATATTTATCAACAAAAAAGAGAATAATTATTATAAAATAAATATTAATAGCAATTATTATAAATTAGATAATAGTAATTAGTTAAATAGTAGCATTTTTTGCAATGCATTCTACGCAAACCTGCAAAAAGTTTACTAATAGTTGAACCAAGTATTGAAAAAGTACTCTCTTCTTCATCAGGAGCTAAACTTGATTTTTCCGATACTAATTCTACATTCACCAAATTCAATATGCCACTCTCATCCATAGCAAAGTGTGCTTTAATGCCTTTATTTTCTGCTCCATCTTTAAGATGTTTATCTAAAGCTTCAGTAATACCAGATAAAGTTATTGTAGATAGATTGAAATTACCGATAGCACTAAAATTAAAACACTATAATAAATAAACATAAAAATATTTTAAACAATAACTATTAAATATACATACGCTATTTCATTAAATGGTAAATAGTCTAATTCAGCATAATTAATATGAAATTGAAAATTTTCTGTATATTTATTAAATGTAATAATTTTCTTCTGTGGGTAAGGATTCATTTTATTAAATAATGATTTTTTTACCTAAAAAATATCATTTTCTGTATTCAATTTTGATAAAAAAATTTAAAAAAATAATAAAAAGAAAAAAAATAACAATATACACAATATACAAATATACAAATACATAAAAATCTTACTTGTTTTATTCTATTATTAACTGTTCTATCAAAAACAATATGAATGGGAAACAATACAGCATCTTTAGTAACAAATTTTTTTACTTTAAATCCTTTACTAAGATCTGCAGCTTTATACACTGCTCCTAATACAGCTGCTTCATCTGTATTAATGTTTTTAGACAATTCAACTGTTAAATATTGACTTAGATGTTCTTGTATCTTTGGCATTCTAGTAGCAGCTCCCACTAATACAACTTGAGATATAGCATCCATTGTTAAACCTATAAAATTTACATTAATTTATGATATAATAAATATATTTTAATTTAATTCATTTCAATATACCTGATGTTTTATTTATTAATTTATTTCAATATACCTGATGTTTTTAAAGCAATTTTAATAGGATTTGCTACTCGCTCAAATAAATCAGTACAAAGTTGTTCTAGTTTTTCTCTGGTAACTTGTAATCTAAAGTCAACTTCATCTATTAATCCTTCAATTTGGGCAAAATGATCTGTATTTGCACTTAATACATTCTTAACACGACCAGCTTCTTTAAAAAGTTTTGCCATTGCCCTTACATTGCTAAATACAGAATTTTTTGTTTTATTCAAAGCATCAAATTCTTTTGCTAAATAATGTTGCAATCTAATTTGCACTTCTAATCCTCCCAAAGTACGATCATAACCCACACCCAAAATGGTAACATGTGGATTAGTTTCAATAAATCCCTTTTCCTTTGTTTTTATATTTTGATAACTGACAATTGTTGCAGTTGTACTGCTAGCTCCCATATCATAGAACATTACATAATGTGCAGTGTCATTTATTTCTTTACTGCGAAAAATTCCATAATTTAATGCAACTGCAGTATAATCATTAATAAGTTGTAAAACTTTAATTCCTGCAAGATCTGCAGCTTGCATAAGAGCTGTCCTTTCAATTTGATTGAAAAATCCTGGAACAGTTATTACTGCTTCGCTTATCTTTTGACCAGCTGAATTTTCTGCAAATTCTTTTCCTTTATGCAAAATTTGTGCAAGTAATTCTTCTGGAGTATATGTGATATTCTCATCTAACCTAAATGTAATTGTTTTACGTTCTTCATCAGATATAATATCATAATATGGAAATCTTTTTTTATAAAGTTCTACTATAGGATTATCTATATATTTTCCTAAAAGATCTAGAATATAAGAAAAACTATTTTGAGGTGATCTAATTCCCACTACTTGAGCATCTTCTCCAAAACTTCTTTCTCCATTTCTAAATGCAATTGTAACTGGTGTTTTTCTTTTTGATTCTTTATTCAAAGCTATTTCCATAGGAACACCAGGCTATATAAATCATTAATAAATAATATTAATAAAATTTATGAATAATAAAATACATTAATAGTTTAATAATAAAATGAAGTTTACTTACCGAAACAATAGCAACTTTCATTGATTCACTACCTATATCAATACTCATAACAGCAATGCCATTGCTATGGTCAATAAAAGTTACAATAGTAATCAATAATAACCAAATAATGGACATATTTATTCCACTTGGTTTCATCTATAATTTAAAACATATAAAAATATATATGTTATATTTAAATTTAATTTTTAAAAATATTTATTAAATATTATTAAATACATTATTAAATATTTATTAAATAACTCATAAAATGTTTTTAGATAGTAAAAGAATAATATTTAATAAATATTTTTCATAATTAAAAAAATTTTAACAAAAAAACATAAGCTCATTTAAAAAAGAAAAATTAAATTTTCTATAAAGAAACTCAAATTATAATGTTGAATAGTACATAAATCTAAAAAAATTTTTAAATAAATATAATAAACATGAAATTATTGCAAATATTATAAGTAGAAAGAAATCTATAAAACAATTTATAAGAAAATTATATATAAATCTTACATAAAACAAATTATATGAAAGATAATATTTCAATTACACGAGAACTTCTGTAAAACTGTCAAATTTGGTTATGGTAACCAGAAATTAAGAAAAAATCTCAAAGAACTTTACTCACTTTTTCGTCTTTTTTTAAAAATATTAGTCTGACGACAAAAGAACTACTGTCCTTAAACCATTAGACATAGGTACACGTACGTTCCAATTTGTTTAAAGCAAGAAAAATAACGTACACCTTCTGCATCAAACTGAACAAGAAGCATGTGTTTGTGTGGCACAACGGGATTGGTAAAGTAAGATGGAAGAAAACGATCATATTGGTCCGCGCTGGCAAATCAAAACGAATAAGCCACTGTTCTATCCCCACTTTATTATAATATAGATAATTTCGAAAAATCAAAATTTTACAAAAAGATATTTTATTTTATTTTCTATAGTTATTAATTCTAGTAATTAAAATATATTTACTATATCAAATAATCACTTTTATTTTTATTTTATTTTTTAATAATAAAAAAATAGAAATGAATAATAAGCAAAAAGAAGCTAATAAATAAATGTAATTACAATTTATTTAATCAATTAAAATATATTTAATTTTCAGTCGATTAAAATTTTACATCAATAAATGCAAAATTTGTTACATACAATTACATTATTAATTATATTAATGTTTGAAATAAAAATGATATTTATATATGGATATTTATTAAAAACAAAAATCTTAAATTTTAGCTCCATTCATCTTAAATCTTGTAATAAAAAGCTATTATAAAAAAATTATTATTTTATTAAGCAAATTATCTCTTTATTATATTTTAATATTATAATATTTATAATAATTATTTAGAAATAATTTGCTATGAATGATTAGTATGAGTAAACATTTAAATAACTACTTATATGTAAATAAATAAAAACAAAAAGAGTTTACAATTTTATAATGAACTAATATAATTCACAGTACAATGTGTGTAAGTATTTGTTCCTCAATAAATGTTCTATTTGAAAATAAAATAGAACAAAAAACTTATGCACAAATATGTAAAAATGCTTGTAATGTACAAATGTTGAATAATCTCATAGTTCTTCTGATCGTCCAAATTTATAAGTAAGAGATCCCAAAAAAATAATACATTTTGTAAAAAGAGACCTACACCAGGCCAATGATGTTGAGCTCCTAAAAAATTAATTAATATTATTAAGATGATAATCATATTTTTATTAATCATAAATGATGTATATTATTATTAATTATAAATAATATGCAAACCTGCAGCTACAAAATCTGCAAATAAAATCCAACAAGCTGCAATAACTGCAGCAAATCCCATTACAAATCCGACAAATAACCAACCTCTTGCACCTCTAGCTCCAAGATAACCACCATTAAGTGCATCACCTCTCATTTGTGCATTCGTTACAGAATTTATCCTAAATTAAATAATTATTTTCAATTATCGCATATTGATGTCAAAAATATTATATGATAAACATGAACATTTTCTTACATAAATAAAGATATAGTTCCAAATATTCCACATACATGATATGCCTTTGCCATTTCATTAGGATACTTTGCATGAGCATCAATAATAAACCACCATCCTACAAAAAACTGCAAATTGCAAAAAAAGAATAATTATTTTATAATAAATCATTTGTAAAGACAAATAAAATTATAATAAGAAAAAAACATATATTTTAATTATTATATTAAAGTGTACTTATTTAAAAATTGTATAAAAATAATATTATTACAAATAAGTAACAAAAATTGATGTTTTAGAAATAATTAAATTAAAAATATATTGTACTGTCAATTTCATTTAGAATAATATAAACTTCAATGTTTACCAATGTTCCGGCGAACATAGACACCAATACATTTCGTTTGTTGCCTATTTCGAACCATACGCATGTTGAAGATTGTAAACTTTCCAAAAAAGATGTCATTTCTCAAAATTCACAATAAAATAGCTCAGAAATCTAATGTTACGATTAAATGGGTAACCTAAATAACAAGTATCAATCACCAAATCATCACACAAATATATATATATATATATATAAGCATGGAAAAACTACAATTCACGAAAATTATTCTTGAGATTGTAAACTTCCTTTAATAATAAAAATTTTTTCTATTATATTCACGGTGATATTATGAAGTATTCTATCTTATAAATTTATATGTAATTTTTTTTTAAATAAAATTATATTGTTAAAAAGTATAATAAAAATATGAAGTATTTTTTTTTCTTTTTTATATAGTGTTATAATTCTAGTAACATTTTCTTAAGTTATATGATATGGCATAAAAAATAAAAAGATAGAATTAACACGTGTTCATAATATGTATTTAAACTATCATCAAAATAAATATCTTTATAAATATTTTCAATAAATTAAATAAATCTTATAATTATATTAAATAAATCTATAAAATGACATTGGATTTAGGTTTTGTGGAGAAGTGTGAGTCTTGGCAAGTAGAAAGTAGATTTTTTCCAAGTAAAGTCGGTGGTAAACCAGCTTGGCTTAATTTAAGAGATATACCTGGAGAAAAAGATTTTCATTGTGAATATTGTAAAGAACCTTGTATTTTTTTATGTCAAATTTATGCACCATATGAAGATAATGAATATGCTTTTCATCGAACGATTTTTATTTTTATATGCAAAAAAATGGAATGTTGTAAATTAAATAAAAATGGAAATTTAAAAGTATTTCGTTCTCAATTACCAAGAATAAATGAATTTTATTCACCTGAACCTCCAATAGAACAAAGTAACTGGAGAACTGACATTAGTATGTATGTTAAAAACAATTATAATAAATTTTATTAATGATTATTTAATGATTATTATTATGATTATTAACAATTTTAAATGATTGAAACATTACAAGAATAATAAAAAATAACTTGAGTGATTTTAGGTATAAATAAATGGGTAAAAACATGTTATACTTGTGGAATATTAGCACCTAATCATTGTTCTAAATGTAAAATTGTAAATTATTGTTGTCGAGCTCATCAAATTTATGATTGGAAACATGGACATAAAGAGATTTGTGATGGTAATCAAAAAATAGTAAAAATGAATAAACTTTTATTCCTGAATATGAAATAGTTATAGAAAGAGAAGATAAAGAAGATCCAAATAATTCAAATGATTTGATTAAAGAAGAAGAAGAAATTAAAAAATATGAAACAATGATACAAAAAAATGAAGCAGGAATTTTTCAAAATGAAGATGTACAAAATGAATTGCTAAATATGGCTAATGGACAGGAAGATGAAACATTTTCTAAATTTCTTTCAACTATTAAAAAATATCCAGATCAAATATTAAGGTTTTCATATTTCTTTTTCTTGCTTTGTATTTCTTGATTATTACATTATTTATATATAATAAATTTTATCTATTTGTAGATATGACAGAGGAGGCAATATTTTATATATTTCAGGATCTAGTAAAATTAATGAAGTACCAAAATGTTTAGAATGTAATGGAGAAAGACAATTTGAATTTCAGGTGAAATAAAAAATATATTTTATTTTTATAATATAAAAATTTCTGTATAAAAAATTTTGATATAATTAATAAGATTATTCTTTATAGATTATGCCTCAATTATTAAATTTCTTAGATTTTGAAAATACATTAAAATGTATTGATTGGGGTATTTTAGCAATATTTACATGTATAAAATCATGTATGCCTAAAAATGGATATAGCTTAGAATATGTATGGAAACAAGACATTATGGAAAGTAATCTTAATGAAAAATATTCAAGAGAATAATTAAATTATACGTACAACAAAGTAAAAAAATTTATGAATATTTTATAAAATAATTTTAATTATTCAAAATATATGATTATTTTAATAACATTTTAATTTCTATATTCTATATTATTATTTCAAATATTACCAACTAATCTAAAAAAATTTAAATATCCCTAAAAATTAAGTTGTATTTCAGTAATTTATGTAATAAAATTAAAAAAAAATTTTAAATATTATAAAAATAATTAGTAACAAAATAATATAACTAATGAAAAACAAATATTGTCAACAATATATTGTCAACAAATATAGATTATTATTAATATTAGAAATATTCAATAATATTTGTAGAATATATAATATTATTGTTGTGAAAAAATTAATATGTAGAAAAAATATACGAATATTATTTCATATAATTAAGGCTATAACTCTAAACTATACAATAAAATTTCAAAGGTAAAATTAAATGCTTTTTAATGATGTATCATTATTCATATATTTCATTCAGAAATTTTACATTTAAATAAAGTACATAGTGTACTTATCTTTAAAAATATCTTAATAATAATTATATATAATAATTAATTACTTTTATAATAAAATGCATTAAAATATAATTATATTCCTAAAATTCCTTAATTTATTAAATATATTTTTTAGTACATAATAGTATATATGCAAAATATTAACTTACTGTTTCAAAATTTTACTTTTTTCATAGAATTAAAAATAAATAATTAGATTATATTAAAAAATAGTTATTTAATAAGACATTAATACATGCATTAACTTAACATAAATAACTTAAAATACCAATAGTAAAGAGTAAAATAAAATTTGTAAATATTAATTACAATTAATAAATTAAATCTATTAAATATTTTCTAATAATTTTTTAATAATTTCATATGAAAAATAAAAAAAAATACATTATGCATTTATGAATCTATTATATAAATTCTTTTCTTAATTTAATTTATCAATGTTCATTCAGCATGATTCTTATATTTATTTATTATTTTTCATATTATTATAACCTATTAATTATTATAATTTTAAATATATTACCATTAATAATAATTTTATATAAAAATATAATATAAAAATAATGTTGTAAATATATCTTTATGTTACTATATGTGAAAAGTATATGATATATTATAGATAAAAATATAGTTTGAATTAACTATACTGATTAACGTAGTTCAATTGAGTACCTCTATACGGAAGTGACAGGAATTGCGATTGGTAGGGTAGCGTTATTTTATTACGTGTCATATACGCAAATCTTTTCTCTATTGCTTGAGAATTCCAAAAACGAGTTTTTGGGAAGTTTTTTAATATTTGATTATCTTAATTATATACATATTAAAGGTATTAAAATTTATATTTTTATTTAAACAGAATAAAATACAAGTTTATTATTTTGGTTTATTATTATAAAGCGCGTGTATGTTAATAACATTTTTAAAACTGTCATAAACATATGTAATATAAATATGTTTAATTTACTTTATTATTTTTAAAAAATAAATTCAATAATACGAAAGAATATTTTAAAGAAATAATAAATATTAAATTTATAAGAATCAACATTTTAGATAATATATTAATAGTAACATAAGGATTTTGACTCAAATGATAGAAAATTATATATGTTAAAAAATTTCATCAATAATATTTTTTGAGCACTTGGAAACTTTTTTATTGATATTCTATCTATAATTTTATAATTTCAATTGCAACACTTTTATATTAACACATGTAAAAAAAAAAATAATAAATTCATTTCAATATTTTTTCATTAACATGTATATTTTTTTTTTAGCAGGAAGATGCGTCAATTAAAGGGAAAAACAAAAGAAACAAATAAACAGAAGAAAGAGAGGAAAAAGGAATTTTTGGAAAATAAACAACGTGTTTTTACAGTTGTGTTACCAACTATTGCTGCAATATTTGTTATAATAGCAGCATATGTTTATGTTAAAACCCGTCCGAAAGTTGTTGAGTATTAATTGGCGTGTGTTCATTATTAATCATTAAAATACAATACCAATGTATTTCAAGAATGCTTGGACAGTTCCTTGATACATTTGTACAATTAAATAAGAATTATTTAAATAAGAAAGCAGATTTGAATGCTGCTCATATGATATTTCATTCCTATCATTCAATAATCAAATATAAACATTGTGCATTAATTATATGACTTTTACAAAATATTTTTCATGCTAAAATACAATATTGGGATATATATATATATCAATTAAGAGAATATAATTAAGACATTTTTATTATATAAATAGAAAAAAAAGTACTTGTGCTATTATTAAAAAAATTTGCCTAAAAAATAGTTTCTAAATTTATAAATTAAATTGCTGTTTATTATATTTTTCAAATGTAACTTTATAAAATGTTAATCAAATTATTCCAACATATGATTCCAAGAATGTTGTTGCAATTTTAGCATAATACAAATTTTTTTCATATGAATTATTTTATATAATTCTATGAAATATCTAGTAGCTTTATTATTCTTTGAAAGAAAAATAAAAAAAATAATATTTTATAAAATATTTGCATAATAAACATGAATATAAAATAATTTTAATATGTTTCTATTATTTTCAAAATTATTTAAATTAAATGAATATTAGTTATATTTATTACCATTAGTAAACAATGAATGTTCAATCGAGAACCGAAAAATTGAGAACCCCTGAACACGTTACACCAATAGAAATTAAACACGAACATGGATATGTTTATGTACGTGTATTGAACTTTCAGTTTCTATTTCTCTATAGATTGAATACTTTATTATTTTAAAAATGAGAGAAAAGTTCGTTTATTTTTCATTTATGATTTCATTCGTAATATTTTTACTTTGGACGAGTCCTGTGAAAGGTATATTAATATATTTATTTTTATGAAACATTAAAATTATATGTAATAGTGTATATATTTTGAAATATTAATTTTTTTTTTGATTAAGTTACTAAACTATCATATTTCAAAAATTTTATAAAATCTTCATTTGAAAAAGATTTCATTATAGAATACTTTATAAATCTTTAATCATTTAGTTAACCTATTTTCATTTAAAATAATTAAAAAATTGAATTTCTCTTTTAAAGCTAATCATTTTAATAAATATTATTTTAATATATGTTTCTAAAAATTTATAATTCTAAGAATTTGTATAATTTAATTGTATATTTTTAAACTTCAAACATTTTAATTTAATTTAATTAAATAAGAAAGTATGTATGTATACAGCTAAAGGAACACAACATGTGACATGTGGTTCTACATTAAAATTAATGAATATAAATTATAAAGTAAGATTACATTCTCATGATATAAAATATGGAAGTGGTAGTGGTCAACAATCTGTAACAGGAACTTCAGCTAAAGAAGATGGAAATTCTTATTGGCTTGTAAAAGCTGGAACAAAAAAACAATGTACCAGAGGGTATATATTTAATCATATCAATATAGAATAATCATCATCAATATATAATTTTTAAACAATAATTATAGGATACCAATTAAATGTGGAGATATTATAAGATTAGAACATATAGCAACAAAAAAAAATCTACATTCCCATCGTGTCAGTTCACCACTTAGTGGTAAACAAGAAATATCTGCTTATGGAGATAATAAAGGGGAAGGTGATAATGGTGACAATTGGCTTTTAATATGTCAGACTGAATTTTGGAGAAGAGATGAATCAATTATGTTGAAACATGTAGATACAGATACGTGAGTTTTCTATATTTTTGTTATGTGTAAAAAAAATTCCTTAAATATTATATAAAATATCAAATTCTGTTATTTTATAGATATTTAGCAGTAAGTGGAAGAGTTTATGGTAATCCCATTACTGGACAAACTGAAGTGGTAGGCGAATATTCCTCTAGTTCTCCTCATATTGAATGGATGACAACAGAAGGAGTATTTATTCATCCTAATGACTTTAAAGCTCAACATCATATTCATACAGAATTATAAAATAAATTTTTTAGTATAATATAAAATTTTTCTTGATAATAATAATGACAATTATAACAAATGAATTAAAAATTATATAAATATTTTATTAATTTATTCTTTCCATTATCTTCAGATTAATATCTAATGTTTTATATTTTTATAAAAAAAAAAAATTTATCTTTAAATATCTCTAAGAAAATAATTTTATTAATAATTTTTAAAAAAATTGTATACTATTAAAAAATTATTATTTTCTAGGCAAAATAAAATGAATGTTTCTTATTGTTTTTATAATCTTTATTATATGTGTGAATCTTGTAATAGAAAATATTATAATATATTTATAAAAATTTATGAAGAGTGCAATTATGATTTATAATTCATACAGAAGTATAAATATGTAAATGTATTAGATGTATATGATATTTATTATAATATAATATAATTTACATAATTGAAAAATGTATTTTATTGTATATACATTGTTTATATGAAAAATGCATAAATATATTTTTTTATTTATTAATTGTCTTAATAAATTTCTTTATTTAGTTATATTTATTATTATTATTATTTATGATAATTTTAACTATAATAATCATTGTTTTTATTATATTTGCTTCAACTCGTATTTCCCATTAAGATCTCTAGTTCCTATGAGACCATTATATGGAAAAATAATATTTGACAGACCATAACTTCCAAAAATTTCTTTCAAAGTTTGTTTTTCTGATATATTTGCATATTTTTGTTTACCTGTCATACAACTATGCAATTTCCATGTTGCATATACCAAACAAATACATAAAATAGAAACTAATATATCAAACATTGTAACAAGTAATATATAAGTATTTTCTTTAGAATATAATAATTTGATAAGAGCAATAGGAAAACAGAAATTTAAAAATATATTGAAGGAATCTGTATCTGTTCTTATTACACGATTAATATTCTCATATAAATATGGTCCAAGAATACATAATGAATATATACATGTTAATGATGTATAAAAACAAAATAAAATGAAATTACCTATATTTTGTCTTAATATACAAGCACCCAAGAAAAAGCAATGATGATCACGAAAATGGAAACATTTTTTACAAAAAATACAATGTTGTGTTGGTTTGCATGTATAATTAATACATTTTTCACAATACCAATATTTATGTTCAGTATTACTTTCTATTTTATTGTGTATTAATAATTTTTTTCCTATTATTTTAACTTCCATAATTGTTGCATTATAACTTATAGCATATACTGAATACCAATTTAAATATACTTGAATACAAAAAAATATGAAAACTGGAGTAAGTTTTTCATTAATATATGTTGTTAAAATAATAACAATTATGCTATATAACAATGTAATGAATGGGCAAATTTTTACAATAATTTGTGGAAATCCTTTCATATTTTTTGTTATATCTTTTATAATACAAGTTTAAATTTAATTAATATTAATATAATTATAATTAAATATATTAAACATATGATTAAGATAAAATATGAACTGTCTTCTTTATTTTTTTTAGTATAAATCCATCATAATTGTATTAATATAATTTTTTCTTTTCCTGTAAAATATATAGGAAAAATAAGGAAAAGTATTACGATTTTCCCTCTTATTTTTTTTAGTTACTTAGTGGTGAAATGAAACAAAATTTTTAATATTTAATATTCTTTTAATATTTATTAATATCACAAATTAGAAAAAAAAATAATTATAAAATTCAATATAAATTGATTTATTTGCTAGAAAAAAAAAATAATATATATATATATATTTTTTTTAAATATTTGCAGAAAGAGAAAATAACTAAATTGCATATAGTGCAAAATATTTTCGAATCATAATTTATTATTTGTAATTCTTTGATTTTAATCATATTATAACCTCTTCTATTTCATCGTAAATATTTTATCTGAAAAAATTACCTGTTTCTTTCTTTTAAATAAAAAATATTATAACAATGTTGTAATATATTTAATGTTAATACAATTTGATTATTTTATTTTTTTATATGTTCATAAAATACATTTAATACTTAAATGAATATTGATTTTAAAAACTGTAGAAACTAATACTCAAGAAATATAAAACATTATACTAATTACTTCATAAGATAGAAATGATTAAATGAAATAATTAAATTCTTTATTGAATTTTTTGAGATTATAAACATAATAAAAAAAAGAAAAATTTTTATTACATATTTACACATAAAAATTGATTATACTGATATTAATATTTTAGATAATGTATATGCGATTAATAACAAATTTTTATAAAAATCTTTATTTTTTATTAATATATTTGCTTTATATAAAATTTAATTTGAAAAGATAGCATATTTAATATGTAAAATAATAAAATTTTTGTATAAATAAGATTAAATTATAAAAATTCTTTTGAATGAAGTAGGTATTCAGGAATTTCAAAAATAAAAATTTAATGAAAATTTTGTAATACATTTAATGATTAAAATGTTTTTTTTTTATATTACATAAAAAGATTTCTCTTTATATTTTTTGTACAGTTTTATATATTTTAAAATTTTATATTTGTATTATGCTCAAACTTTGTACATTTTTTTTCAAGGAGAAATCGTCTTTAAATTTTAATTTTTTTCATTGCTTATAAATATATATTGAATTACTTATTGAGTAAGTACATATATTTTTATTTTACAAAATTATTTTCTCTTTTCAATTTCTTTTATTTTCATTATAAAAAAAATTCGTAATTCTTTTTTAAACTAGAAAATATAGAAAATATTATCAATAAATGATATTAATATATAAAAAGAAATTTTAGACATATTAATGAATATTTACACTTAATTTACATTGCCGATTCTATAATTTTTGTTCTATTATATATACATTCAATGTTTCCTATTTACATGTGAAATACTTGTGCATCATTAATTTATGTTTATTCATTTTCTATGTTTTTAAAAATCAAAAGTAACTAAATATGTATGACAGTTATTATATATACTATCACACATTTTATACTTGCTGTATACTTTTATACATTTGTATACATTTCATATTTATAATCCATACTTTTGTTTCCTACAAATAATTCATCCTATACTTATAAAGCTATATGAATATAAAATAATTTTTACAAGTTATCAAAATACAATTTTTATAAGTTATCAAAATAATGTATATGTACTATTATAGTCAAATATTTGTGTAGCTAAAATTTTATATCTTCGAATAATATGTTAATAGACTATTTAAATACGTGATCTTTTTTTTGTTACTTTCTTGTAATAATGATGTATTTACAGTTTCACGAAAGTTCACCAATGGGTGCATGTTGTAACCATAAATCATGTATAAAATTATACAAATCATCACTAACAGCAACCTGTATAAATTATCATAATTTTCAATTTTAATGAAATATTTTATAATTCAAAATATTAAAACTCACTTTATATGGTGTAGGATTTAGATTTCTCTTGTGATCGTTTCTAAGTGTTCTTAAAGACTCTTGGACTTTATTTCGTATTTCTTGTAATGTAAGTAAAGGTTGGCATAATTTACCATTTTTCCAATAAACCTAAATATTTATAGAAAAATATTATAAATTATGAAATTTATTAAATAATTATTAAAAATTATGAAATATATTATAAAAATTTATATTTTATTAATTTACCTTATGTAATGGCTCTACTCGCGTTGGAATAACATAAGCTCTTTTTGATTCTTGAAAAGGATGTCTACAAAGAACTTTATGTTTTACTTGTGGTATTTCTTCTGTTGATCTTTGTAAAAGATCGATTAAAGCACATCCATCTGCTCCATATAATCTAAATGCAACTTTTTTGCCAGGTATTGATATTTTACTAACATCATGACTGATTTTTATTCTAGGTTGATCATTAATTTCAACCATTTTATAAACGCAACCTAGTGCTGGTTGTCTTTGACATGTTACCAAATGCGTTCCAATTCCAAAACAATCAATCTTATGATTCTATAAAATCAATATTTTTTATAAAAATAAAATATATAAACTGAAATTGTATTTTTTAATATTATATTTATCTACCTGTTCATTTAAACTTAGAATGGTCTCTTCATTGATATCATTTGATGCACAGATTGTTAATTTCCCAAACCAAGGTATATTATATTTAATACCAATTCTTTCAAACAAATCTCTGGCAAAATTACTTTGATATGCTAAATCGCCACTGTCGAGTCTTATACCAATTGCTTTATAACCCAAATCATTTAAAGCTAGTGCCACTGCACAAAAGTTTAGAAGACCACTCCTAAGTATAAAATTTACTTATAAATTATACATATAAATTGTCATCATAATACAATAGAAAAAGCATTATCAATTATGCATGCATTAATATTATCATAGATTCTGAAACATAATGTATATTTGTGTTTATTTTATATAAACACAAAAAATATAAAATTATTGTAAAAATTTTTTACATAAAATTAAAATTTACTACTATTATTATTTTTATATGATTTTATGAGATAAATATGATATAAATATTACATGCAAGTGATTGATATTAATTATGATACAATAAAAAATCAAATAATCTATTAATAGATTTTATTAATATTTCGTTTGTATTCTATTAATTTTTTATAATTTACATTTATATATATCTAAATTTTTACAATTGAAATTCTTATTATTAATAAAATGCGAATCGGTTAATGGTTATTTTTTATATGGCTGAATTGGGAAGGGTGCTATATAAGGTCGTACATAATACAAAATTCATCAAATTTTTTACAAAATAATTCACGATTTTTCAAATTTTTAATTATTGTTTTATACGAAAAATAAAAAAAATCTATAAATTTGCCCGCTTTACAGAATGATATTTTTTTCATAAATAATATTAATAAAATTAATATTAAAATAATATTATACTTGAAATATGAAATATGTATTATTTTATATTTTCAACTCAAAATTATTAACATAAATAATAATATGTAATAAATTTAAAATCTAATAAAATAAATGTTAATAAAAATTCTATTAATATATATTTATTATTCATGAATATAATATTGAGTAATTATTTGGATTTGATAAAATATGATAAAAAAATGATAAAATATGATGATTTATTCTGCAAAGCAGACAAAATAGATAATATCGTACCTC